TTGTTGTTAAGTGGGGCAGTTGTTAAGCGAGTCACACCTGATTTTTATGACCTTTTTTGCAGTGGTCATTAAGCAAATCACATCATTAAGTGGATCACATAGTTCCCCATTGATTTTGCTTGCCGGAAGCCGGTTGGGAAGGTCACAAATAGTGATCATATGACCCCCAGGACACTGCAACCATCATAAGTGCAAGCTGGTTGCCAAGCACCCGGATTGCAATCACATAACCATGGGGGTGCTGCAACAGTCATAAATACAAGGACTGGTGGTAAGTCCCTTTGTTCAGCACCGCTGTAACTTTAAACGGTCACTAAACAAATGGTTGTTAAGCGAGGGCTACCAGTAATGTCTTCTCTTGATATTTAATGCGAGCGTTAGGGGAGTCAGGGAGGATGCAGGCCCCAGGAGAGATGATGGTACAAGAAACAACTTGTCACTAATGCATTCTCTCTTGGCTACCCCCAGAGGTGCCCGTCGTTCTAGCTGCCTTTGATGACATGACGAAAGCAAGGTTGTGCCTTCAAACTGCCAGCTCCATGCAGACACAGAAGGGGTGGAGCTTGCACATGATGTCACAATACTGCTTTAGTTAGAATGACTGTTTTTTATATATATGCATTTTTATTAAAAGTTTTAAAGAGAAGATAAAAACTCACAAAAACTAATATTTATTTATTAAATTTATCTCTGCCCATCTCCCCCCAGTGGGGGGCTCTGGGCAGCTCACACAAACCATTAAAACAATACATATATATAAATACATAAAACATAAAAATATAAAGGGGAAAGAAAGAAAAAAGTGTTGGAAGAAAAGATTAAAAAGAGAGAAATTGTCTAGAATGTATAAAGGTACTTCGAATTTGTGCTGGAAATGTGAACATGAAGGGGCATTTTATCATGTTTGGGTGGATGGGTGAAAAAGCCAAAAAAAAAAATGTGGATTTAAATACATACATTAATTCAGAAGATCTTAAAGACTAAAGTACAATTGAAACCAGATGCTTTTCTTTTGGGATAATGGGCAGAAAAACAAGGTCATGGAACTTTATTTCTGTACATGACAACTTCAGCAAGATTATTATATGCTCCAAGTGGAAAGGTTTGACATTACCCACAATGGAGGACCAGTTGGTGAAGATGATGGAACTTGCAGAGATGGCTAAATTGACTTCTTTGATCAGAGAAAAGACAACATCTATGTTTATTGCTGACTGGAAACCTCTTATGGACTTTTTGTATGAAACAGAAAAAAATGCACTTATGATTTGTGGTTTTGATGATTAGCAAAAAACTAGATAATAGAAAAAAGTGAGCTTTTCTTTTTGTAACCATAGAGTGAGAGATAACTTTGTAATTATACTTGTATTTGCTGCAGAGGAAATTGGAAGCTGCTGCTTTCTATTTCTAGTCAGACCGACTGGTTTGACTACCCCACCTACCTCCAGTGAAAGCCCTGGGCTACCTCAGCGTAGAAAGCTACCCTCCACCCACAAGGATTTTAAATGTTCTCTTTTCCTTTGAAAAAAAAAATCAAAACTTAACTGATGAGAGCTGGTAGGGGGAAAAAAATCTGCAGGGGAATTTCTTTGCCTAGCAGTACTGTATATGAAAGCTTTAAACAGAAGGAAGGAGAAGAAAATGGCTAGAATTTGCAGATCTGTCCAGCAGAGTAGTGGGAAATACCATTCCTTTCCACTGATAACATTGAAGGAAGATTCAACTCTCAGTTTAGAGAATGGAGAAAGAGGCCCTGTCTTTCATGAGAAGCTGCAAAATGGCTTAGGTTAACCCCTTTGCCGTTCAGCATTGTCCCACCTTTGAACTCTGCTGCCTGGAGCTTACGGCTCATGGTCATTCATGTCAATGTGCACAGCCTTCTCTTCCTCTAATTTCATCCAGCTGGAAATTTCCTATACATTATTTTGGGATGCTGTAAATCAGCAGTTTGCTGGACTGGATGAATAATGGCCTAGATAAGGAGGATGATTGAAGACTGGGCTCCAGGGAAGTGGATAAATGGCGACAGGTCTGGATGGGACTCTAGCTATTCCATCACTTGTGCCTTGAATCCCACCTGGGAGAAGTTGCTTGAGAATGTGTGTGGATCTGATGGGAAAGTCGGGTCCAGCAGAAGGGAGATATTTGTTTTGGCAGCTGGGACTCCTGGCCAAATGCCAGTTTCCAATCTCTGTTGGTTGGATTGAAACTCTGCTCTGTCCCTTGTAAGATGTGAATTGGGGAGTGGGCTGTGGCATGTTTCCAGGAGAAAGTTCCAAAACTGTTCTCCATAGACAGTTGCTTAATGGTCCTCTATGCCCCCAGTGATTAATCCTTCTTTGTTCAACCTAGTCACCTCCAGATGTGTTGGGACTGTAATTCCCAGAATTTCCAGCTACAATGGCTGAATTCCTAACACATCCAGACACTACTAGATTGAGGAAAGAAGGATCAAAGTGTGACAAGGAAGTCTATGTGGCCAATCTGAAAACTAGATCAGAGTCTCTGTGAGCCCTCCTTGGGAGCCAAAGGAATAGATGGACAGATGAAACCTAGAATGCGAAGGAGCCAAATAGACCAGTGCCAAGTGGAACATCTGTAAGTTGGTCATCTTAAGTCAATGCAAACTATGAATTTCAGTCAGTTCAGTACTTATATGTTGAAAGTAGAGTTATTTACCCATCTTTGTTAGTTAATCCTTTGTTAGTTGACGACCAGCTGAAAAAGCAACTCATCTGCATGCACTTATCTAGGAAGAAATATAACTTTCTTCATATCCTATGCTAAATCATAATGTGATTGGCTTGATTTTGGCTTAGTAAATTGAATGAACCCATCAGTTCTGGCTTATTCAGTAATACATGGCCAAGCAAACCATGGCTTAGCATGATGTGAGAATTCTGATAATAGCAGGCACTGAAGTCAAGGGGGTGACATTGTTTTGCAGAGAGATGACAAGTTGTGAAGCTTGTTCTAACTACATGTATGGGAGGAAAACCTGAGAGTCCTCCATGTGTTCTCGACATGACCTCTTGCATAGTCTAGCTCAGTGGCCAGTTTTCCTTATGTTGGCAACATCAGCTACCAAGAGTTGGACAGACTGCAGAGACCTGAGATCCCCACCAGCTGTTAGATAATTGAAAAGCATAGGCAATACAACCCTAAAGCATGTGAAGAGGCAGCTGGAAAGAGTTGGGAAGCAGAAGAAGCCATGGGAAATGCTGAGGAATTTAGAAGTCTGTCTTAGACCCATTTCAACCATTTGTCCATAAAGTGCAAGGTCTCCCATTGAAAAATTACATATTACCTGCTCCAGTTTAGCTTGAGATCCCACGGATCCAACTTTTTTTTCCTTTCATAATTAATTGTATTACATCAAACTAATAAGAAAAATATATGTACATAAAACTGTGTCAAATATGTAATACAATTTTAAAATTAAAGGATGAGAAACACAGAACTGGGATCTTTGGCATGCAAAGCAGTTACTGCCCCACTGACTTGTTGTTCCTTTCACCTGCTGCTCAATTCCCTCAAGTTGAAGGAGAACAAGTGCTGGAGCAACCAAACTAACAATGGCATTGGTTTAGATCTGCTCGTTTTTGTCCTGGATGGGATTCTCAGTTGAGATGTTACTCCTTGCACTTGATGGCTACTCTGCTGCTGAACTTGGTGGTTTGACATACAAGAGTCACATTCTCAATCCATGGAAGTTATGCTCTAGAGATGTATGAAAGATGTATCTATCCAGAGTCACGTTTCTTGAGTTGAGTAGCCTTATAAATGGTGAAAGAGAGAGAGAGAGAAAAAGAGAAAGAGAAGGGACACCACTGAAAGGTAGGTCTTGCTTCATCTAGTTGTGCACAAGTCAAGATTTTGGATGACACAATGATACCAAAAGGCCTTACTTACTTGACCCTAGCCTGCCTTGCCTTGCCTAGCCTTCCCTCCCTCTTCCTTCTTCCTTCTTCCTTCTATCAGAAGTCACCATGGGAGAATTCCCTTTCCCTTTCAATTGTCAAGTAACCCAAGTCTTGACTGCCAGTCCTGGAAACTTAAGTAACTGAATTAGTAGGCCAACAAAAAGACTCAAGGCCTCAGGTATTGATATACCTCCTGTAGAGTTATTTCTAAACAATCTAGATGCCAGAGGCTACTCAGCAGAACGTTTGCTTAACTCACTGCCCGCTCTTGGTGCTCGTTAGGAGAGTAATTTAAGTGTTTTGAGCATTTGGCACACATGCCTTTTTCACTGCAGAATATATATTTGCAATAGAATTGCTGGTCAAGCAAAGATCTGGGAATTCTGGTCAGAATTATAATTTTCCAGGAGATGGAAAATGTATCTCTGTTATGTGATATGGAATCACTCAATATTTTAGCTAAGTCCTCTATACCAGTGTTTCTCAACCTTGGCGACATTAAGATGTGTGGACTTCAACTCCCAGATTTCCCCAGCCAACCATTCTGGCTGGGGGATTCTGGGAGTTGAAGTCCACACATCTTAAAGTCACTAAGGCTGAGATACAGTGCTCTATTCATTTGGATTTTAACTCTCTAAATTTCCAGTAGCGATCATGCTGAACATCTTGGGAGCTAATCAGCACATATGAAGGACCTCCAGGTTGCGGAAGACTCTTTTAGGTGACATAAATTCTGTTTCACAGAAGTAAGAGCATAGATGTGAACAAACTTAACTGTATAAACATCAGAGTCTGTTCCAGCTCAGACAGTTTTAAGCACAACTTCATATATATTGTTGTGTTTTAAGCCTGGCTTCTTCAGCTTGGTATGTTGGACTTCCATTGCCATAATCTTCATGGGGATTATGGAAGTTGAAATTTAAGACGTTTGGAGGATACCTGGTCATGGAAGCCTATTTTAAACAAACATTCCTTCCTCCACTGTGTCTTGGCTGAAATGTAGTTTACTGTTCCCAGTGTGATTTTTCTGCAACTGACTAACTTGGCTCTTCTGTTTGAATTTCTTTTGCTTTCCAGCCCTGAAGATGAAAATAAAAGAGGTGAAGAAAGAAAATGGAGATAAGAAAATCATCCCGAGGAAGAAAAAGCCATTGAAATTGGGCACCATCAAGAAGAAAGAGCTCAAGAAGCTGGTGTTGTACCTTAAGAATGGGGCAGACTGTCCTTGCCACCAGCTGGACAACCTCAGCCACCAGTTTCTCATAATGGGTCGGAAGGTGAAGGCCCAGTACCTGCTGACAGCCATCCATAAGTGGGATAAAAAGAATAAAGAATTCAAAAAATTCATGAAGAAGATGAAGACTCCCGATTGTCCCACATTTCAGTCTGTCTTCAAATGATCAGCTGGTGCTGGAGGATAGGGGACATACTTTCATTTTCATTTTTCATTAATAAAATTTTAATTTTTTTTATATTATATATATATATATATATAAATATATATAACAGGCCCTGAACTTGCACAGACTGACTTAGTGGTTCACGTACATTTTGGCTTCTTCAGCCTTTGTGGATACTGGACCCTCGTTCTTCCACATTCCGTTCTATTTGTGCCTTTAGAGTTTTCTCATGTTCTTCTTGCCTGTTCTTCTTCTCTACCAACCCCTAGTTCAGGGGCATTCACGGGCAAGGGGAGGCAAAAGAAAGTCATGATGGTGTCTGTGACCGTGTGATTGAAGTTCCACCTCTTTTTAATGTGTGTTGTGTGACACGTAAAAAAGGGTAGGGCTTCAGTCATGTGGTTGCAGCTGCTGTCTTGATTTTTCAGCAACCCTTTCCTCCCCACCCCACCCCATTATATCCTCATTAGGGACTGTTCAAAATACACACATATATTTATATACTTGGGGTTTTATGCACAGACCTCTCTACGGCCAACCAGAAAATCAACCATTTGCAGCCGCTCTATCGTAGCTTTCTGCTTTTTGCGTAGAAACTTGACACTTTTCCTTTTTAAAAATTTGGATTAGTGTACATCACTTTCCACCTGCTTTTTCTTAAGGGACCATCCCCCATCTCCTACTTCATCCTTCTTCCTGGATTAGTTCTATATACATGGTCCATCTTAGTCAGGGATCATGTGATAGATGGTATGATGATGTCACAGTGCTACATAGCCGTTGGATTTGGCTAAGTGATGTCACTGTGAGGTAGGGACAACAATATAAATGACAATGTAAATCTTCACTTATTTTATTGGTATTTTTGCAAGGCATAGCCAAGAATTGTCCAAAAGGAGGTATTCCTCTATGTTGCAGAAACAGTTCGGAAGGCAGTGGAAACAACCATGAATTGTTTCAACTCAGCTCTACCTCGGGATGTCTGAAAGATGGATGTGTATGTAACAAGGAAATTGCTAGGGCTACAGAAGCATTCATTCATGTGGTGTTAGTGGGTTTTAACACAAGAGGCTTTTTTTTAGATGAATGGTATCTCTGCCTGTTGAGCAGGAATTACTAACGTGAACATGTAGGTTGAGCCTTTTTAAAACTTGGAGAAATCTGGAAGCAGATCATTTGATTCCTGTGTTCTTCCTGCAGTCCCAATCCATAAAAAAAGAAAATGGGGAGAGAGAAAAAAATTGAGAGGGGTGTTCAATTGATTTCAGTGACCCAGTAAAAGGAAGTGGAAAGAGTCATATAATGGTAGTGCTGGGGACTGTATTTTTATAGATTAATTTTATTGCAGGGAATTAAAATTTGGAGCCATCCTTGCGTAGGGATCCCCTCCAAGTGTCAACTGCTGGACCTATGAACTGTCCAGAATATTGATGTGATGGCCATTTTGGGTTTTGCCCATGTGAGGGAGGAATGTAGGTATAAAGTGATAGGTTGGGATCCTCAGCTAGGGCAATCTTCCTCTTCAATCAATCCCAAAATGGACTCCTGGGAATTCCCATTAATTTATAATAGATCTGTAGAAATGACCTCTCAGGAAGAGCTGTGTTTTTGTTCTAAGAGAATTTTCTGAAAGTTGGACACAGGTGAGTGAATTCCAAAGTTCCTCCAAGACAAGAACAAGCATAGCTGGAAACTGCCCAAAATTGTGCCTAAGGGTCCTGGCATCTGTGGGCTGTTTTATGCCAGGCTCCTTATCCAATAAAAGAAGGGTGAATCCAAGTTCATAAATTTTGAGGAAGATCAGTTTAGAACTTTGCCCTGAAAAGAGGATTTTGAAGGGAAGGCGTTGCATTAAGAAAAATGTAAGTAAAAGGAAACAAAGATCATGCCAAAAGGTTTATTTACTCATAAATAATCCATATTTGCTCCCATTATGGCCAACCAGAACTTTTGGAAGCTCCAAATATGGGATGTCTGTAATAGCATCTTCCTACTGAGAATGGCATTGAAAGGCCTCCTCCTTTCAATAGAGGAAATTATATAGAGGCATTGTGAATAGCAACCTTATGAACAGCCTCGTTGAAGAATGGCTTTGTGTGCTTATTAACAATGAAAGGCTGGCAAAGGCTCCCCACATTATCAGTCAGCAGTGGTGCTGGCAGCTCCATTCTCTAGATGTGTAATGGAACGTGAGAATGACCTTGGAAGACCTGGGGTGGGGGAGGGGGCGGGAGGAGATGCTGCCTAGGGAATGATCAGATAAAAGGGGGAGATGCCCACAGCTGAGTAATGGGCAGAGAAACTTAGAGAGGACCTGCCTAACTGATCAGGTGGTAAAAAGGGACAACAGGAGATTTGTACTTTCAGACTTGCAAGATTCTGTTAACCTAGCCTAACAATAAAGTAGAAGTAGCTTATTTGGTTGTGTTTCCTGTCTGGTTTACCTGGAAGGGATGACAAGATGAGGAATGAACAATCCATGGGCTGGGGCCACAGGTGACACTGAGACTAATTCTATGCAGACTCCAGACTAATTTCACACGATATTTTGGCTGTTTGCTGTAATTAATCTGGATTTGGAGCTATGTGAGTTGAAAAAAATGGGGGAGGGAGGAAAAAGCAGAGGTGGTCAGAAAAAGAGAAAATAGATAGGCCCACCTCCTTTCAACTGTGGTCCTACCCACTGCTTGCTTAACCCCACCTCTACAGTTACATGCAGTTGTCAGAGAAATGTGACCCTTGGCATAAGCTTGCCCAACCTCATCCTGGAATGGGTGAGGTGGCAGAAGAAATATAATTGCTTGCATAAACTACCACCTCCTGCAAGGTGGTCCAGTTGTGTAGCAAAACTGGCGCCATCTAGCATTAACAACTTGCCAGAAATGGAGCACTTTGTGACATTTCAGTGTGGAAAACAAAGGAGTCCCAAAAGGCAACCTCAAAATAGGGGATACTTCTCACAACGTGGCATTATTTTCATGTTTGCTACAAATGCTGATATTTGCCCATAACCTGTTTAAGTTTTGATAGAAGTATAATGAAATTGCTCTGGAGAGCAGATGTGGCTCATGACAGCCTTCTCTGTTCCAGCTATTCACTTAAAATGTAAAATGTTGTGCATTACTGTCCTTCAACCTTGCAGGGACCTAGATTATAGAAATGCCCTATTTGAGTATGATCCTTGTCCTTTCCAGGAAGGACTCCTGTGAATTTTGTATTTGATAGCTTTCTTTTTGCTTGTTTCCATGTGTCTCTTCCTTAGTTGGTAATTTTGTTGGTAAATGTGAGATTGTGAATCTCTAGGACAGTGTTTCTCAACCTTGGCAACTTGAAGATGGGTGGACTTTAACTCCCAGAATTCTGGGAGTTGAAGTCCACCCATCTTCAAGCTGCCAAGGTTGAGAAACACTGCTCTAGGCATGTGAGTGGAGTTTGTGCCTTTAGGAAGTCCCGTTCTCTTTTGTTTTCATTTTTCTGCTGTTACTCTTTTCTCTAAAGATAAATGCCCTATTTGAGTATGATCCTTGTCCTTTCCAGGAAGGACTCCTGTGAATTACTCCCAGAATTCTGGGAGTTGAAGTCCACCCATCTTCAAGCTGCCAAGGTTGAGAAACACTGCTCTAGGCATGTGAGTGGAGTTTGTGCCTTTAGGAAGTCCCGTTCTCTTTTGTTTTCATTTTTCTGCTGTTACTCTTTTCTCTAAAGATAGCCACACCGAAAAAGGTGGAAAATAGATCTTGAAGGCATCTTGCATTCCGGTATCTTTGCATGAAGTTCTAAAATAACCGATGGTTTCAAAATCCAATGGGCGTTGCAGCAAGATGATCCTCTGTAGGAGGCCACTGATGGCAGAAAACATGAGCTTTACTTTCCAATTCTATTTTGAAACACTGCCGGGTATCTATCCATCATGGATATTCGGGAAAAGCAGAAAGCTGGCCCATAATTGTAAGCTGAGAAAGAGATGAGCTTGTGGGTCTTCTTGCAGCCAACATAGCAATTGTTTGAACTATGTTTTGCTGCCAGGCCCTTTCCTAATGTTTGCTATCTTCTTACTCCCTTCCAACATCACGTTTCCCAGACAATGACTTCCGTTCTACCCCCTGCCCCAAATGGACATGATATTCTTTGTTATTTCAGATAAGCAGAGTTGTATAAAAGTTAGCAAAGATGTTTCTGGCTTCATCAACGCATTTCCATCTTGCCCTTTTGCATCTTTGTTGTGCTTTCCCTCGTTATCAAGAATGCAAATTCTAAAGCAGTGGTTTTGAGACAGGGTGGGGGTGGGTGGGGGTGGCTTGGATGATGAGATGACCCAGAAAAGGGATAGAAAAGAGGCATTTCTGAAAGAACGAGAGAGTCACTTGACATTTAAAAAGCAAAGGTCTGCCCCTTCCTCAAAAGTGATGATGAGATGACCCAGAAAAGGGATAGAAAAGAGGCATTTCTGAAAGAACGAGAGAGTCCCTTGACATTTAAAAAGCAAAGGTCTGCCCCTTCCTCAAAAGTTCTTATCTTTTTTGTTGTTGTTACAATGAAACTTACTTCCCAACTGATGCTCAGTTTTTAAAAATTAGGAATGTTTCCTATTTCCTGCTTTATGCTAACAAAATCTGTTACTAGTCTTGTCTGTGGTGGATTCACACAATGGTTAGACTAGGCTAAAGTGGGGTTAGGTAGTGGTTGAGCATACTATGGGAATCCAGCCATGGTCAGTGACCTTGTGTGAACCAGACCATTTCAAGGGGCCAGATAGTGGTTTATTTGTCTGGGCATTACAGATGAAGGAAATACAGCTGGTGTGATTTGTTAACCAGATAAAGGTTTAGTGTGTTGCATGAATGATGTGGGTTGGAGATGAATTTGTTTCAGCTCTAGTGGGAATGACCTGTTTTATTGAACAAATGAACCATCTGGATGTTGTCACATATAGGTTGGGTTCATACAATGTGCTATTCCCTAACCAAGTGTTTCTCAACCTTGGCAACTTGAAGGCTGGCTGGGGAATTCTGGGAGTTGAAGTCCACCCACCTTCAAATTTCCAAGGTTGAGAAACATTGCCCTAACCCTTCTGCAACTGGATCTTGTGCTGAAGTGCAT